AGATTATCATATACGTATATGATTATTATCATATACGGGCAAGTTATTTTCAAATAACTTGAAAATTGTTGGACGAATTTTGTTGATATTGGTTTGGTAGCAGGAGTAAATTATTACATTTTTGAAGATACTTGTATACACAAGATTAAGAATGTTTTTTAATGAATCCAAAACAAGGGTAAAGGCGTGTCCCTTTTCCCAAAACGAGTTTTGTCAAATTTTATGGGAATATTGGGCAAGCCATTTTAAAACTATATTGGGAAATGATGCTAGCAAAGTTGTTTATTATTATTAACATCTTTATTGACAAAATTAATTACAATTTTGCCTAATCTGAGGATTTTGATAGTCTTATTAAAATGAGGATAATGCTGGTATTCACTGTCACGCAGGACAGAGGGTCATACATAAGACAATAGGTCTAAACTGTAGGCTGAAGTTGTTGGATAATTGACACAGAAACCAAATTCGGCTTTCAACACATGCTACAGGAAAGCTGGTGATTGTTCTGAAATTTGGTCTGAAATTATTAATAACAAATCAATCACAGATATAGTGTTGGAGAGTATGTCTTAGCTTTTGTTCACATAGTTTACAGTTGATGCTTGTTCTCCCGCGCAACGTGAACTAATATATCGATGGAGGATGTAAGATAGATGTAGCATATCGTTTCATACATTTTCTTAGTGTTGTAATAAGCCTCTGGATATTATATTAATTAAATATTTTAGATCAAATATATTGTTATTGCTGTGGATGTGCATTCATTTGTAATTGTTATGCAAGTAGTTGTATATAAATATTTAAATTCTGTTCAGATCAGACCATAAACTAGTTAGACAATATGAATTGTCCTCTAGAGATTTAGTTATTCGGTGATTGTTTATATCTTTAAGTGATTTCTTCATTCTTTTTTTATACGAAAGCCTACATTTCTTCAATATGTTTATGATGGTCATTATTATTTGACTCGAACCAGCGACCAGGGTACTCCCAGCCGCGACATGGTTTAAGGTATACATCCTGGGGATTCCACAGGAAGTCTGGCAACATCAACTGAAGCCAGTCCAAATGTTACATATAACCCCCATCAGGCTTCATGCAGGCCTCTGGTGTAGGTAAACTACCCTGATCGCTGGTTCCAATCACCTCATTGCTCCAATTGATTTCTCATTATTATTATTATTATTATTTTTGCTATCGTATTTTGTTGGCCAAATTTTGCTTTGATTTATTATTTTTACTTAGTTTTTGTATATGTATTACTTATAAACTAATGTATTCGTTTCTCACATTTACAAGTTATACATTTGAACGTTGAATGCGGTGTCACCTTGGGCTCTCACACTCTCTCCCCGGACAGTGAGTGCACGATTATGGCGGCCCTCGCCTCCTTCCACCCGCGCCCCTGGGCTCAATATTTTAACTGGGTTACCACTTATAGGCTAAAAACGCTCAAATATAAATTGGTGAACGAGTGGTATGGAAGCCAAGGTTGGTGTGATGTCATAAGGGCTGGTAGTCGAGGGTGCTAGTAGTGGTGGTTACTTTTATTCATTTCTCATACTCATCCCTGCTAGTGATGTGTGGTGTTAGGCTAGCACAAGTACTAATAATAGTATTATTTATACTTGTAAAATGAACAACCATTCCTCCAAAAAGAATAGTACTTAAAGCAACTTATGGTCTAACGCTCAAAAATATCTGTCATTTAAAACTAACAATCCCTAAACAAATACTTAATATAGTGCCACGAATTGTTAACAAAGTGCCCGAATTTGTCAGTTAGTGGCAGGAATTGTTAACAATGGAAGGAATTATTAACATATTGCCAGGAATTTTGCTAGCATAATACCATGATAGGTTAAAATAGGTGCTAACATATTACGAGGTGAAAACATAACCTAATATATATTGATTTTTTTTGTCAGAATAGGTTCAAGTATATATTAAATAAAACAAACAACATATTATGGTCGAGAAGCAAAACAAAACTCCTGGATGGAAGAACTAGGTCGAAGAGTATCACTGAGTCACGGCGGCTGCAACTTGAATGGGGAATGAGGAACGTAGTATATGTTTTTCGTGCAATTTCGTGCAGTTTCGCGTCACATGACGGGATGCTGAGTTATGCACCCTTACTCTTGCGGAGGAAATGCAGAGTGAATGAGAGGACGGAGTGGGAAGAGTGAGGGATGAGGCTTCTTGACATTCTAACTCATAAGTGGTCATCAGTGATGAAGATGGCCCGAGGTGGTCACCTTGGTGGGAATGGGAAGGTTGTCACTGCGAACGGTTATTATTGTAAACCACAAATATCTCCGAGGACGGACACACACACACACACACACACACACACACACACACACACACACACACACACACACACACACACACACACACACACACACACACACACACACATTATGAGAAGGATTAAAACAGAAGAGGACTGTTTGAGGCTTCAAGAAGACCTAGACAAGCTGAAGGAATGGTCGAACAAATGGTTGTTAGAGTTTAACCCAACCAAATGTAATGTAATGAAGATAGGTGTAGGGAGCAGGAGGCCAGATACAAGGTATCATCTGGGAGAGGAAATTCTTCAGGAGTCAGAGAAGGAAAAAGACTTGGGGGTTGATATCACGCCAGACCTGTCTCCTGCAGCACATATCAAGCGGATAACATCAGCGGCATATGCCAGGTTGGCCAACATACGAACGGCATTCAGAAACTTGTGTAAAGAATCATTCAGAACTTTGTATACCACATATGTCAGGCCAATCCTGGAGTATGCAGCCCCAGCATGGAGTCCATATCTAGTCAAGGATAAGACTAAACTGGAAAAGGTTCAAAGGTTTGCCACCAGACTAGTACCCGAGCTGAGAGGTATGAGCTACGAGGAGAGACTACGGGAATTAAACCTCACTTCGCTGGAAGACAGAAGAGTTAGGGGGGACATGATCACCACATTCAAGATTCTGAAGGGGATTGATAGGGTAGATAAAGACAGTCTATTTAACACAAGGGGAACACGCACAAGGGGACACAGGTGGAAACTGAGTGCCCAAATGAGCCACAGAGATATTAGAAAGAACTTTTTTAGTGTCAGAGTGGTTGACAAATGGAATGCATTAGGGGGTGATGTGGTGGAGGCTGACTCCATACACAGTTTCAAGTGTAGATATGACAGAGCCCGATAGGCTCAGGAATCTGTACACCTGTTGATTGACGGTTGAGAGGCGGGACCAAAGAGCCAGAGCTCAACCCCCGCAAACACAACTAGGTGAGTACAACTAGGTGAGTACACACACACACACACACGGGGCCTCGTAGCCTGGTGGATAGCGCGCAGGACTCGTAATTCTGTGGCGCGGGTTCGATTCCCGCACGAGGCAGAAACAAATGGGTAAAGTTTCTTTCACTCTAAGTGCCCCTGTTACCTAGCAGTAAATAGGTACCTGGGTGTTAGTCAGCTGTCACGAGCTGCTTCCTGGGGTGTGTGTGTGTGTGGTGTGGGAAGAAAAAAAAAAAGTTAGTAAAACAGTTGATTGACAGTTGAGAGGCGGGCCGAAAGAGCAAAAGCTCAACCCCCGCAAAACACAACTAGTAAACACACACACACACACACACACACACACACACACACACACACACACACACACACACACACACCAAAAGGCCTTTGATATAGTTCCTGATTGATTCATGAAGATTAAGGCACCCAAGAGGTGGCACGGGGATGAATAGCCCATAAATATAATTCCTCATAAGAGACTACTGATATACTGAAAATCATAGTGGTTCGCAAAATTGACGTGATGTTCCGTTGTCTATTCGTGGATCTTTAGTTAGGTTAGGTTTTGGCAATTTAGTACATCAGTTTAGTGACGTTGGGAACTCTCGAGACGACGGGCTGCTTACACATAGGATCCATCATAGTTCCATGAATTAAGGGATGTCTCTTGTAATGTCAATAATTCTTAGTGAAAATTTTAGTTGTTAACTTTCACAAGCACGATTTAGCCTTGTAAAGTATTGAGGAATGATTCTCCTTAATCACTTTATACAAACTATATTAGTGAGTTATTTGATTACAAAGAAGTTGTTTTTGTAGAATTCAACAATTAGGTCTAAGTTGTTCCAAAACTTGGGAAGTTACAGTCCCGCTCCTGTGCCAGGTAAGTCCGTGGAACTTTTTGTTCAGAGTTGCTGAATTTAAAACAACAGCAACAACAATCCAAAACTTCCATTTATCTCATTCATACTTATGTTTAACATACGCTTGAAACAATCCAGCTATCTCATAACCTAACCAAATTTATCCTAGCAATAATAGTATCCTAACAATAATAAAGTGTTTATATGAACTGTATGAGGCTTAAAATACGCTAGGTTAGGCCTAGGATTGGTTGAATTAATGATTTCGTTTTTCCTTCCAAATATTAAATAGTACAAAATGTGAACTTATTTATGTGGAGCAGTCCATTTTTTGTGCATAAGCTTCCCTTTCGCTATATACACTTTCTTGATGGTGGGTGAAAAATGGTTATGTTTTGTGCTATATTGTTTGACGGACAATCCAACTTCATAAAAAAAAACCTGCAAAAATAGCCTACTTTTTGTTTGGTAATATATCTAACCTTTCTCCATATTCGGATAGTATATGTTCCTTAGTTTAGGACTTGTATCCCCTGTCTTTCAATGTCACAGGCACTCAGTAAGTAATCATTATTTTACTGGCCAGCATCGTAAGTTGAAGAGCCTGGTAAAGTAATTATGCCACCAAATAGTAAGAATACCTCCTTATAAGGGAGAATATACAAATTAAAACAGGATTTGAATAGTCCTGAGGACGTTGCCATAAGGGGAATCATTCACATTTAAAAGGTATCAGAGAGAAACTCCATAAACCGCAAGACACGGGGTGTGAGGCGCGACTATAAACCTTGTGCCAGTGTTTCCGGCTTGTGAGCGTGGCCCCACTAGCCAGTTTCCAGCCATAAGGCGCGAGAAGCGGCAGCAGTCCCACCAGAGCACCGCGTGACGTCCACCGTCCCCGACCACGACCAGTCGTCTCCACCGTCCCCCACACCACGACGCGTCTTGTCCACTGTCTCCCACCACGACCAGTTGTCTCGTCCACTGTCTCGTACCACGACCAGTCGTCTCCACCGTCCCCCCCCCCACTACGACGCGTCTTGTCCACTGTCTCGCACCACGACCAGTCGTCTCCACTGTCCCACTACGACGCTGTCGGCCCCACCATCTCCCGCCACGACGAGTCGTCTTAACCGTCCCACAACGCGTTACCCCTCCACGACGCCGAAGCCCACATCACTACACGTCGCCCTCATTACGACACGTCGCCTTCCATACGACACGTCGCCTCCCCCCCCCCCCACCACGACGCATCGCCCCCACCATCTATCGCTGTGCCACCCGCTTTGATACGTTATTAGACAATAACAGTGAAACCTAAAAATATAATGAAATAAAAACAAGGCTAGCGCTATTGTGACATTTTTTCTTTTCAAATCGAATTTAATCCAATAGACAACACTCAAATCAAGTTTCGCAAAAAAAGACCCAAAATACAAGGAATTATTTAATGAAAGATACATTTGAAACTGTATTCAGCGAAGTGTTAAACTGTGAACACCAGCACCATGTGTGTCAAGGTAGGTCACGTTGGGTGTGGGGTCTGCTGCCTGGTACACTGGTACACTTGCTCACACCTCGGGCACAAGTACACTTACCCAGGGATCTTACCCAGGAGACTTACTCAGGGGTCTTACCTACAGTGATGTGTGGGGTAACCCTACCCAGATTCTGGCAAGTTGGGGTTTATTAGGCCAGGTTATGTAACTCGTTAAGTTATTCATTGGCAGTTGTTTAATTGAACGCTATTCGTCAATTACTGATGAATGCATCGGAGCGTACAGTGAAGGAACTATCCCCCCCCCCCAGTCGTCTCACCCTGTCCAGGGTTCGAACTCGGGATTTATGGACGAGCGGGTGAGGGTGCTAATGACTATACCGCAGGCTGCTGACCTTTGCTCTGTGCTAACTCCCTCCCGTCGAGGAGTTTGTGTTGAGTTTCATGATATATACAGCTGTAGAAATGGATGTAATGGGGTCTTTGTGTTACGATCCACGCATACCTCCCAGGATAAGTGGTGGCAGGCGTGGATCGTAATTCAGATTGTTATTTAACAAAATAAAAGCTGTTGTGTAGTTTCAAGCGCTTACGTGAGCACAGCACCACAACCTTAATAGGCTTAAGTGACGTTATTAAGGGAAGCGTTACCCGGAGTACGACTCGGGTACGACTCGTACTTTCAAGGATCAACGGCAACTCTGTGAATTTGTTGTTTTTGTTTTAAAAGTACGGTTAGCCTAAAGTGTAGATTTAGTTCCCTTGAAAAATAATAGGTTTAGATTACAAAACAGCTCAACACATTCCGTGAAACATTAATTTTCAGTGATTTGAGACCACAGTTGAAAGCAAGGCACGTTGCTCCCATCGATAGCTTTCAGTGTAGTGTAAACCAAATATTATATATATATATATATATATATATATATATATATATATATATATATATATATATATATATATATATATATATATATATATATATATATATATATATATATATATATATATATATATATATATATATATATATATATATATATATACACACACACATATAACAATCACTGTTCGAAGACCTCATCCAGCTCTTAGGAGGTGGGGGTGCGTGCCTAAGATACAGCAATCATTTCCTCTCTGGATCGCGACACTGAGGCGCTGGAACAGGAAACTGGCCGGTCTTGAGTCTCTAGTTTGCCTATTGAGTGCCTCACCCACCTCCTTTAGGAACTTAAATGTACATTTACCACAGGCGCCAAGGGTCTCAGAGCCTATTATCACGAAACTGTATCAAATATACATTACAGTTAAAACTAATTTGGCGATTGACACAAATTACTGGCAACTTCATTGCTAGATGCAACTTTTCCAGAGACCCCTGATAGTCTTGTCTGCTTCTTCCAGGGATGTAGTAATTACCTTTCCTGCTTCACTATGCAGTAACAAATACTATTTATAATTAGTACAATGATGCTAACACGGCTACTATTAATAATAATATTGTTGATAATAATACCAGTGGGGACACTTACTACAATGCTTGATTGTGCTTGAATGAAGATGAAGGAAAGATACAATTTATTATAAGTGTATCAAAACCAAATTTTCTGATATAACCTACATCCTTTCTCTAGGTGTTGTAAACAATGTTTACAACATCTTGAGGGAGGATGAAGGTTGCATCCGAAAATTTGGTTTTAATACACTTACACATATATTGGGTCTTACTTTCACCTTCAGTAATAACAGCAATAATAATAATAATAATAATAATAATAATAATAATAATAATAATAATAATAATAATAATAATAGCAGCAAATCAATGGGAATTATTACATATTATAATTATAACAATTATATAAATAATATTAATTTTTACCTAATCAATCAATGAGAAGTAAATCATCATGAAAATATACCTTATACAGTGTTCTGTATTTGTAATTGATGATTATAGGAGCTATATTTTTTGTTTCTGAAATGAATATTTTACTAGCGAGTATAATATATAAATCTAGTATAATATATATAAAGCGAGTATAATATAAAACGAAGTTTACGATACTAACTACGCTCGATTCTTATTGTCAAATCACCCAGAAAGACAGGAACCGGCAGGTATTTTTATTTGTTTCAGAAGGCATCTTTTAGTTTATATGTATGAGGATGTTTGTATGGGAATATTCTTTAGGAAGCAGATTTCTCCCAGTCTGACTAAACGAGCTTGTGCCATCACAATTCCCGTTTTCTCTCGCAAACATCGGAATTAAAGAACATGATGATTCTGCTCATTACATATATATATATATATATATATATATATATATATATATATATATATATATATATATATATATATATATATATATATATATATATATATATATATATATTGTACATGGGTCCATGCTTTCATTCAGGTGAACTCACATTGCCATCAACTCCACGATAGGTATGATAGTCTGTAACAACAGACTATCATACAACCCATCCAACAGCCCATCCCAACAACCTATCCTCCTGTTTAGATAGTGCTTTTAGTACTCACTGGCAAACCAGCAAGTATAATTTAGACCCAAACATTGTTAAGGGCCAGAGTAAACTCTCAATGCTTATATACCGAAAAAAGTGGGGTACTTTTGTTTCATGTATCTGGTACAGTGGCAGTGTGTCAGGCACAGTAGCCGTGTGCCTGGCACAGTGGCAGTGTGTCAGGTACAGTGGCGGCTTGTTCAGCCATAAACAGCAGCAGCAACAAAAACACAGATATAGATCATTGTGGGACCAGATGCCGGAGACCCTCAAGCAAGGGGAAAAAGAGAATGTGTGCGTGTGCAAACTCACCTAGATGTACTTGCAGGTTTCGAGCTTGAGCTACTAGGCTACGCCTTTTCAGTTTCGATCATCTGATACAATGATCCAGACTCGTATACCGAAGAAATGCTCCTTGACGTCCCTCTGGCTCTACAGAAATTCTAGTTTCCATCTGTGGCTTCTCGCTCCGTCTGTGACCTTTCGTTCCATCTGTGGCATCTTGTTCTCTTACATCCGTATTAAGCTGTTTGCCTATATTCACCTTGTCTATGTATCTGCGTCTCATATATACTGTAATCAGATGGCCTTTTCTCAGATTTACAGATATGTAAAGTTTATATACATTCATATCTGATATACAGACATGTAAAGTTCAGTTCTCTTAGTTTGTTCTTCTGGACTATTCTTACACACAGAGATCACACTAACGTGATGCATCAAATAAACAAATCCACAAGGGCCGTGACGAGGATTCGAACCTGCGTCCGGGAGCATCCCAGACACTGCCTTAATCGACTGAGCTAACCCTGTCGTAGACCAGTCGATTAAGGCAGTGTCTGGGATGCTCCCGGACGCAGGTTCGAATCCTCGTAACGGCCCTTGTGGATTTGTTCATTGGACTATTCTTCTAAATTCTTTTAGTAGCCTTATGGTAAACCTCTGTCTGTACTCGCTAATGTTTTTATCTTGCGTTTAATTAGAGAAAGGTTCCATGCTGATACTACTTATCTCTAGTCTTACGAAGGTGATGCTCAGTGTTTTAATATTTTTTTAATATAGTTCTTCTGTTTTCCAGCTTTGCATACTCCGCTGATGTTATAATATTAATATGTGGCTTAGTGCAGTGTATAAAAGGCCAAACATTGTCGCTGCGTCTTCTCTAAATGGTCTCACAGAGGTGATGTAGTAGGCATCCATCAGTCACAGGAGACTATGGAGTTGCGCTCTGGCGTACGGGCCAGATTCACGAAAGAACTTACGCAAGTACTTACGAACGTGTACATCTTTCCTCAATTTTTGACGGCTTTGGTTACATTTATTAAACAGTTTACAATCATGAAAACTTCCCATTCAACTGTTGTTATTGTTCTAAATAGCCTCCTGGTGCTTCGGAGCTCATTAACTGTTTAATAATTGTAAACAAAGCCGCCAAAGATTGAGAAAAGATGTACAGGTTCGTAGGTGTTTGCGTAAGTGCTTTCGTGAATCTGATGGTCTGGAGTGGCCTCACCAGGGCGCAAAGCCAGGGTAGGTTGATTCGGGGGAGAAGCTGTTACCCAGGCAGCAGATCCCCCGAATCACCTCTGTTACCCAGAGGTGATGTACAGTGTAATAAAAGCACCCATGTTTAGATGCCTGACGGCTGCTCTGATATACACCAGCTTAGCATAAGTGTGTGAGGTGATTCTGCTCATGTGCACCGCCAATGACAAGCTGGTGGCAAAGGTGTATCTCAGGTCCTTATTCTTCTTCTCTGTCACTTTAGGGTGTTGAAATTTGTGTGGTATTCCTTTGTTCTTCGTTATCCTGCCCTCGTTCTGGAGTTGATTTCTAGTTTCATTTTGTCAGACCAGTTCTATAGTTCACCCACATCTTCCTGGACCATTTTAAACTCATCAATGGTAGTAACTCTTGTCATGAGTTTTGCATCATCCACAAACATCGGTATAAAGGTATCATCTATCTCTCCAGATAGACACCTTTATATGCGTTTAACGTGACGCATATAAAGGTGTCTATATATCCTCGTTAACGTAAACGTATGCGTGTACGTTAACGAGGAGCATCGTACATGGTGGAGTCAGCCTCCACCATGTATGTGGTGGAGGCTGACTCCATACACAGTTTCAAGTGTAGATATGATAGAGCCTAGTAGGCCCAGGAATCTGTACACCAGTTGAGAGGCGGGACCAAAGAGCCAAAGCTCAACCCCCGCAAGCACAAATAGGTGAGTACACACACACACAAAACAATAAAAAACAACAGTAAACACACACACACACTGTGTGTGTGTGTGTGTTTACTGTTTGTTCCTGCCGGCTCGAGCAGATAGCTATTGGACCGCGCCTTTCTTACCGTCGATCGTGTAATGTACTAACTCGACCAATTTTCCTATATCATATCTACTACATATTTTTTTCACTCACTCATACACATTACCAGGATGCAATCCATAGTAGCTGTCTACCGGGTAACTATTTAGTG